GTTAGGTTTATAAATCTATAATTGACTTAAAAAAAAACATTGTCAATTTTATTTCTTTGATTGAGAAATTATGGTAAAAGTCAACTATTTTTTTTAGGGAATAGTGCGTACATATGATTGTAAAACTATTGCTGTATAACACAATCTGCGGGTCGCGGGTTCGAATCCCTGTCATACCAAACATGCTCCTCCTTTCAATCGTGGGGACGTTATAATGTGACAGTCAATCCCACTATTTGTTGGTAAAAGAGTAGTCCAAGAGTTGGCAGTGGGTGGTGATGACGAGCTGCCTTCCCTCTAGTCTTACACTGCTAAATTAGGGACGACTAGCGCAGATAGCCTTCGTGTAGTTTTGCGCGATTTTCATAACAAACCAAACAAACAAATAGCTGTACAAATGGTATTATTAAATTTCTATTTTTTAAATGTGAGATAGTGATTTTCTGTTTTGTCAGATAATTAGAAATTGTTAATCTTCTCAATCTGTATGGATAAACTAGCCATTGATTGGCAATTTTCTCGTGTTTGCAGACAAATTTCTGCTCTTTTTTTCATGAAATATAGAAAGAAAGGCTGTTTTTCAAAGAGATCTAGAGTGTAGCAGAAGTTCAAAAGTTGAACTAAACAGGTTTTATTTTCCTAGATAAGCCCTCAAAAATTTGATCAAATAAACATGTTTACTCGTTTATTTATACTATTTTACTGCATTCAATGAGCACTTCTTTTAGTGCGGTTTTCGCAGTGACTTAAGTAAGCGGATACTCGCTTTTTAAGGAGTGTTCGTTTTAAGCAGGGGGCTTGTTCTCATTTTTTAAATAAGCACTTTAACCACAGTAATTTGGGTGAATAAAATATTCTATTGCCTAATTCAACTTGAGAAGTGTTCGTTATTTATATTGTACTTGCTTCGAACATATCCACTTGCCAGTCCTTACCTGATTTATTAGATTCTTCTTTTTGTGTGTGTTTGTTGCTGTTTTTCACAAAAATTGTTTAGTTATTTTTTCGAATTTCGCGAAAAGCTACTCAAGGGCTATCTGTGATAGCCGTCTTAATTTTGAAATGACAGACTACAAGGAAGGCAGCTAGTCAATACCACCCACCATCAATTCTTGGGTTACTCTTTACCAAAGAATAATAGGATTTGCCATCAGATTATACCGCCCCATAGATGAAAGAGATGTTTGGAGATGGATTACAATCCCTAGCCACCAGGCCATCAAAGGCCTTTCGCAAACATAAATAACATTTATCCTTTTGGCAGTACTTGTGCTTTAGTTAGAAACAAAGGTGATTAATGCTACTTAATTCCATTTAGACGTCATAATATGGTTGGCTGTTGAAGTTCACACCCAGATGTTAATATACTAGTAGCAAAATTTGAATTTTTAAAATAATCGGAAAAAATATTATATAGTAGAAATGTATATATATATGTGTTGATGTATAATTTTCAAAATAGAACTAACATGTCAACAGGAATTTTTCGAAGAATGTAACAGTAAAATGTGATTACCTGACAGAAACATTTTTTTTCTAATTCTTTTATTCCAAAGCTGTAGCATGTCTACAAAATTATATCATTAGTGAGTATCGAAACCAGATTTTTAGCCTTGTAATCCTGCATAATTTTCGGGGGAAGGGGGAGAATTCGTGCTTTGACTTATTATTATTTTTCATTTACTCCAGTTGGTTACTATGTTAAAGAAACTACTGCTTTCCAGTGTAAATATTCTAAATAATATTTTCGAGTTTCGTTTTTTTTCCTCTATTGTGTTCATCGGTGGGACAGCAATAAGTTGACGGATTTACAACGATAAAATCAAGGGTTGGATTCCTCTCGGTAGACACAACAGCTAGCCAGAACTGGCTTTGCTATGAGAAAATACACATACATACACTCATCTATTCGTCCGATGAAAGAAAGGTAATTTTTTTGTCATTTTAAACATTGATAATGTCTGTTTGTTTGTAGTTAAGCACAAAGCTTCACAATGGGCTATCTGTGCTCTGCCCACTATGGGTATCGAAACACGGTTTCTAGCGTTGTAAGTTCACAGACATATCGCCTGTGCCACTAGTGGGCCATTATAATGTCACAGATACTTCAATAATTGTTCAAACTTTTAAGTTGTTTTCTTTTTTCGATTACTATATAAAATTTCCTAACGAGCATTAAGAAAGTTCCAAACCACCTACGAAACTATTCATCGTCCTCTATGCTAAACGGTGTCGAGTTAATAGTTTCTGGAAGCTTCTTAATTAAAAGGTAAAATAGCGAAGATCCCTTATTAGAAGATGGTTGCTCAAATAAAGGGAGTTATCTCCTTGTCGTTATGTTTGAAACTCACTAATGATCTAATTCGTGAAAGAACTTATATTTGACGAGACATAATGAAGGCTGCACGTACGAAATTAATAGCACTAATGAATGTTATATCCTTGCTCGATAAGGATAATACATTTCTGTTCATTAAAGAGACTCAAGGCTGAATTACAACTTAAGACACATATGTCAATTGTCATTACCTCTCTGTGTTTGCCGCAATGGTAATTTATGCTAAGTGTTTGTGAAATTATAGAGAAATACACTTAAGCACTTGATGCTCTTTAATATAACGCTATTTATCGAGTAGGATAATTACATTGAAACAAAGGATCATAATAGCAAGCCTAATTAAATTATTGCCACATGCCGCAACACTAATCATTCTAAACATTTACTATACGAATATATTATAAAATGTTAACCATACTTTTAAAACACTTACACTTTCATTGAAAGTGACAAAAACAACGACAAATAACTTCTGTTATGGATCATTTAGCTTTATACCTTTTAGAAATAATATTGGTACAACGTAACTTTGTTTTAAGTCAAGTTAATTGCAAATGTTTTTCCCTCCATTTTACTCTTAATTTGTCCATTGCGGTTGAAAATCAAAAGTCCGTAAAAATAACATTTTAGATTTATCTTTTGTATTCAACAAATCGCTTCTCAAGAAGGTTTTTGCTCAACTGATGTTCTGGTAATGAACAAAAAGCTTCTTGGGAAGCAGCTTGTTGGATACAAAAGATGGTTCTATATTGTTAATCTTACACACCTCTGAATTTGAGTCGTAATGGGCAAACCTCCTAAGCTGAATGATCCTCCTACAGTGGCTCCAGTCAGTTCCTCCGACCCTATTACTCCTCCTTCAAACTCAATTTTTAAAACCTCCCACTATCGAGAACATTTTGTGGTTTCTTAACATTGATCTTCAAAATATTCATTCCTGTCAGCAACCATTTGTTCTTGAGAGTTATGAATGTACTAAGGTAGTCTTTAACCCAATGTGCAAGGCTCAGTCCATTTGCACAAACCACAGAATGTTGATGCTTTATATACTAGAACTCTGAAATTACGTAGCATATCTTCACGAAGGAAGGCAAGCTCTTAGTAAACATTACAAGTCTGTTGTACACAAAAAACCAGGACTGTTTTATACAATATTTATATTAATCTTTCTGTGAAGTTCTGAAGCCTTTACAGAGACAATGTGGGTGGAAGGTGATTTTTATGCTAAGAATAACAATACTACTTTTCATCTTACAATCTTCCTATTTAATTTACTTATC